AAAGCCATCTCAAAGTTTTTGCACCACTAACACTTCCCAAATTTTTCGCCAAATGCATGCGATTTCCCCAGACATTTCATACAAATATGATCATTTCTGACGCACAAGGGACATTTGTTCATTCATATGTACCAAACAGAAACACTCGCAAATAATTACGGGATTTTCGTAATTCTCCGTAACATTGGTTTTACTAAGGTAAACGAATAATTTGACGAAAAACAAACTCAAGATTGCGTGCTGTACACAGTCAACGGAAAACTTGCGACTCGTCGGCACAGACGCCACCCTTCAAAGCAGTATGTCACGGTGTGAGTATTGCTCATCCTGCTGAGGTCTTAGACTGTCAGGTAGCACCATTAACCGTCACAGGGAAGTGAACGTACTTATTAGATCCCTTTTGCATTTCTTTTTAAGTGCCCTTAAACTAGCATTATCAGCATGCATCTAGGGTTAGTAAAAGTAGTTCGAATTCGTGAAATATCAAACCATGTAAAATAACATGTTTAGTTTCTGAAGGAACTGAGTTTATCAAAACTCCACCGAAACAGCTAAGTGTTTAAATCCAAGCAAAAACTTCTGAACAGATTCTCGACATTTCTTTGTGCTACAATAAAATTGTATTTTCTAATACTCTAACATTATTTGGATGTTTGAAATCTGGTATCTGCGGTGACAGAAATACATTTCACTGTTTGATTGAGTCTGATAAACTAATGACACAAATTATTAAATCGGTGTTAGCCAGCGAGAAATAGCAAATGTGAGTGTCATTCTGGCAATGCGTATTCACATGCTATCAGATATTCTTTTGACTGTTGATGGCTAGCAGCAAAATTCTTTTTGCGTATTTTGTCCTTCTTGGGATTTGTTTACTAGGCATACTGGCATGCCTGGGTGACACGTTCCCAACTTAAACCTCAAACTAGTGCACTTCTCTTTAAATGACAACTGTTAACCCTCTAAACAACTGTGTCGCAGCAGTCTCCTCTAATACCGTGGTGTTTCACCGGTGGTATTCAAATTTTCTCAATCCACTGCCTTGTAATCTACTATTCGCTAACACAAAAAAAATATGGAAGTATAATGATGATCAATCATTCAGCTGACAGTACAACAATAATCGTATGCTGATAAGGCCAAACACTTCGTGCTTTTGAGGTAGACAAGTTCGGTAAAAGAAGTATAATCTAAATGACCTTGTGACAAAGTTGTTATCTGGATTTCGTTGACATTGTTGTATTTAATGCTTTTGTAGGAACACAAACTAACTGTCATTTACAAGCATTTTCTGTAATTTATTCATTAAACCGACATATGCACAACGTTCAACGCAATGTTTTTTATTTTCTCTTCGTGGATCACAAATAACTGTGAAGACATGTTAATAATTCGTGGTGTACAGTTTTATGATATGCACCGCATTGCTACAAATATTTTATGGATTCGATCAAACTATGATTTGAATAGTTCATTAACTCTATGCGGATCGGTAGTTTTCCTGATGATAAATCATACACTCTACTCTCATCTTTTATCTATTTCAAGGCATGATTTTGGGTTATATTACGAATAATTTCATCCTAATTTCAGAAACAGTGTACGGAGTCAGATATTGTGTTTAGTGCTTCCTAATATTTGTCGTATACGCAGTGTCTGAATAAGAGGCATTCTATTTTGCCGTGTGCAATATAACCCTGGTTTTAAAACCTCTTATTAGATTAGGGAACATTTTAGGGTATACTACCATGAAAAACAAAATGTTGGTTTGTTACGAGTCAAATTTAAAGTCATAAGCATACAAGTGAAAGGAAATAACAGCTGTTATCATCAATAATATTGCTTGTCTGCACACCGTCTTACATAATGTGACTACAAATCTTTGTGTAAGATATCATCTAGGTAAAAGATTATGGCAGTTATTGAATAAGCATATATAAAATGACGAATTTACAAGTAAATGTATTTCATGAAGATTCTGTTTACCTAGGTATGTAGTTATTATTACCATCCCTACTTCTAGGCAGTCCTGTTTGAGGATCTCGTTCTGTTCGAGGGAGTCCGAATTCATCGCGCAAAAAAGCATAGTGATAACTGGAGAGTCCCTGAAAATTAATTTAGACAAAAACTCCATTAAGTATGTGTCTTCAATTTTGGTTTTCGTGAACATTATATGACAGTTAGATAATAAAACTATTATGAATAGACTTTAGGTTGGGTCTCAACTTGGAAATGATTCATTTCCTATGCAGACAGCGGATACAGAGAAAGACAGAATATTCACACATTAATATTAAAACTCTGTGGACAGGATACCAAATTATTGAGTCGTACAGAAATAGCATTGGATATGAACACAAAATATTGATGACTAATGTTAGCGAAGGACCTTAATATCTGAGTTAGCTAGCATTAAGTCGACCTAAATGTAACTTTGCATCTCATATGGCTGTTAAAGCTACCGAATCACGTTATAGAGAGGCGTTTTTTGCTTAACTAGGTGGTCCTACTTGATAAATGTGCTTCATATTGCATTTGTGAAAAGATTTGTGTTTATGACAAGTAATACTTTCAAACTTGTAGCTTCAATCAATTTGCGACATGGACACTTTTTTTCACTTCAATCTCCATTCAACCGCTAGAAAGGAAATCCTTTGATCTTTTCGTATGGCGTAGACAAGGAGCAGAAAACATTGTTTTCAACTCATGATGATATATCTTCCTTGCTAACATATTTCAAAATACTCTCATCGAAGCATTCAATATAGAGGATCGAAAACATTCAACATACCTTGTAGTCGAAGCCAAATAAGTGCATTGACAAGGTAGAATGTAAATACCATTTGTACAATTATGTCCTCATTTAATTAAGCGAGTTGTCAATATCCGCGAAATCCTAATGGTCAAATCACGTACACTTCTTCATTGTTTTCTGTTATAGTCGACTTAAGCTTTATTTTCATTCTTAATGAGGATGCATGCATAGGTAAACCAGTGTATTATCCACGCATAAGTTGAAGCCGTAGGTATATCCAAACCAAGTCGGGGTTTGATGGTTTAAAAAACAAACACCTTTGTTTGACACTCAGTAGGAAAATCAACTACTAAACTAATTGATACCATACGTTGCTTAAACGATTAATGTTATTTACAGTCTAATTTTACATATATACATAAACAGTATCGACATGTCGGAGATGTGTTGTTAAAAATATATAACATCTGATCATGACAGTCAGAAGCATACACGTTTTTATTCAATAGTTGCATAAGGAACTGCTTACCAGCGCATGGGCCAATTCATGCTTTATTACATCAATCCACATTTTTAAACCAGCTTTTAGATTGGACATTCCACTTGGACATAAATTTATAAATCCCATCACTGGTCTAATAAGAGATGAGAAAATGTTAACTGGTAGCAAAACGTATCTATTTGTAACTTGCAAAAATTCAGTCAGTTTTACATGGATGTAGCAAAATACAATACTTTTCGATAACCAAGATTAATCAAGGTGGATTACTGTAGTTTGCGGATCTCGTCGAAGCAACCTCATGTCCAGCTGTTTAATGTCACTATTTGTCGCTGTTCGAAAGCAGAATATTTCAGAAGCAACCTAACTTATGCGCTTCCGTGCAATGAGACTCCTCAAAATTGTATTTTGAGAGAATAACAACCTTTCAGGAAGGCACTATCAAGCATAACCTGAAAGACAGGTTTGTTCACTTTCAATATACTTTTACTAAAGCCCATGTTTGGAATGAGATTGACAGTTTAATGTGGTTGAAACCACTTTTTTGCTTTCCTTGTGATTAAGATTACCAAGTAGGCTGCGCAGAAGGCTTCTCCTAAAATCTTCCACTTTATTCAACATAAAATTCCAGTGGCGTATCTGGGCATTGCCGCCATAAGAGAGATGGAAGTGAAATAAATGTAACATAATTGTGTGAGATAGTCTGTGTGCTAAACAGAAAGCCATTACTTCATGTCTCGGAAACATGTGACAAACGAAGTATTTTTTCTCTTCTTAGGTGTTTTTAATGAATAACTTGTTTCACTATATATATATAGCAAGGGCATCACAAAACTACTTCACTGAATGTTGATTCTTGATTTCGACTTTAAAATAAACCAACAATTGTTGGAGAATGTTCCTATCTACGTTTGTGCAAAGTTATTTTAATTTTAGAGGAGCTCATGCCACTGAAAGTGATTATTGCTGCACCAACTAATATGCTGACAGAAGTGTTCTTGCAAAGAAATAGATCAGAGGTAATAAAAGTACGAACACACGGTTATCTTTTCATCACTTCATATTTTTCAGAAGGCTATATTCTATTTTGACATTGTCACTGTATGTCGATTTTTCAGTCTTCATTTAAATGAGATTACAATAATTCTGTATGACAGTATGAAACATTCACTTGTTGGCAAGCAATTCAGCAAACAGTTGGATTTTGCATTAAAATTTCCGTCTTCATAGCAGACTCTTGTTACAGATATTGAGTAGTTGGTAAGCGTACAGTTTGTCATCCCGGAGAAAAGTATTTTTGTTATAAAACTAAACCAGTAACAATGGATTTAGACTATTGTTTGGTTGAATTTGTGGAAAGAATGATTCAAGTGCTCGTATGAGACTGACTGCTTGTTTGAAACATACTTGCTTAGTGGTAGGCAGCAGTCGGATAAATAGAACGGAATTCTATCTGTTCCAAGCCTATGAGCTACTAGTATCTGCACACACTTAATTGCCGTCATTGTGATCCGAAGCCCACAAGCACTCATAACTTCGAATATCAGAGCGTTCTGACAGAGTTAATGCGTAAAGATAGCCACATCAAACAATGTATATATTACGAGGTTTCAGGTTGTTAATTTCACGGGGTGGAAGGGATCGTCCTATGTTAACAAAATATAACCCGTGAAAACATTAGGAATTTGTGGATGCAACTCATATACCTACAGAAACCTATCAGTTTGATATGGCAGAATGAGCAAGTCAAAACCTAGAAAGTTGAAACGAAATTTACTTCATCATTTTATGATCTCTTCATAGGTAATTTTTAGGTTTTACCATGGTTTGCTGTCTTCTGCTTACTCAGTGATATTTGGCAAGTAAATAAAAAAGTTTGACTTTTAGTGACCACTGAGATTTCGAAAGGAAATCAAGAACTTCATTTTTCGTCCTGGGTAAAGACTATCCCTAATATATTGTTTCCTTTTGTACCAATGAAACAAATCCTCACAAACAATAACATTTATCTCATGCTTACCTGTCTGTAGAAGGATCATTTTGACAAGATGATGCATAAGCTAAAAGGTTTCCTTGACAGAAAGGGTCTTCTTGATATGTGAAAAACAAAACAAAACTGTTTGGTGGTACTCCTGTTCCATTTTGGTAAACTTGAATAAGCCGTCTGTGAAGAGGCTTTTCGTAACATTCCTTTTGTTAAGCAAATAAAAACAGGAATTTCTATGATAAACGTAGGTCAACGATACAAGACTTATCAACTGAAATAGATAAAGTTAACAATTATCGGCCTGATGACTTGTTAGTAGATTGAACCACTTCTTTTTCAGCACACAACAAAGCTTGTCAGTTAGAAACACAAAGCATTTTATGAAGGGAAATGTAAACATCAGAAAGTGTGCTACATCTGAAGTGAAACTCACTTCATAGAGATATGTCAACGTAATTCCATCCACGTCAACTTGTCTAGTTATCGACGTCGAACTTCGCATAGATTGTATTTACAGCTTGCATAAAACGCCAGGAGGACAGGATATGTGCTTCCATATATCTACTACTAAATTCTTACAAGTAATCGTTAGGAAGCTCTGAGTCGATGCATTCTACTGACTGATACCCATCAACAAGGATTCTTACGACTATGCAAAGCCCCACAAACGCATACAGATTTGAATCCATGTCAACTGACGTCATAGTAACTGATATTAATAATGAACTATTTGACATCTCAATTGAATTACTTAGGTATTTTTGAAATGAGTTAGCTATGGCAGAACTAATACACTCTACCTTCTAATTAGGTACACGTATCTTAAAATCGTTCATTATCTCATTAGAATAAGAGCAACATGTTAACACGGTTTTCTGTAAGTGGGGGAACCAGTTTCAGAGAACCAGTGAAGGCTTCATCTCAGCTATTCGTAAATTGTATGTAGATTACAAAGTGTTGGCGTCACATTGAAGACAAGATGTAAATGCGCGTTAATGAAATTGGTGGCGTTTGCAGGTATTACCACTCTTCTCTCGTAGTTTATTTTACTTACATAGGGCTGTTGTTTTTGCCCATTGATAATTAAAGTATTTGTATCACTCTGTGCCTTTCTGTATAACTTATATTACAATGATGACCTCATTATTCACAAAACTACATGACCAGACTAATGAACTCATTTCTAATTGAAAATAACACACAGGAGAATGTTTCTAGCTACATTTCTTGACTTGAAGCTAGCTGTTTAATATGTTTAATCTACACAATTAGTCTTTTCGCAATGATAAAATAATATCAAATTTTTCAGACTGCAATAGTGCAAACTGAAAGTTCAGTGACCTGATGTCTCCCAGGAAAAGTCACTTCAGTGTAGTGTGAACAGCGATATGTCAGCTAATATCATGAACGTCAGAACGGATATCAGGTAGGTAGTTTGTGATATCGGTTAATACATTTGAGATTTTAATCTTCAACTGATTCCGAGATTTTCCAAATGAAATATAAACTGTGTACAGGTACATTATAAATGTTAATGGATAATGAATGGTCAAATATTAGGAGAATGTTTGTTTAGTTCGGAACTAACTCTACAAGTGATACTGAAGAGCGCTTTGTTATAATGATAATCACGACTCCGTTGAAAGAATACGACCAACACGTTGTGACTAATACTCAGAGGGGAAATACTTGCTTATGATGATGTTTGGGGTGTTTTTCATTCTAAAGCAGTTTATCTGGATAAAGGCGAAATTAACACAGTATGAATTGTATTACGTATTTTAGGTACTTATCTAAAAGCATTTTCAAACAATGACTTGCAAATATTTTTGCAGCATCATTTCATGCTTAAGCTGTATCCTTTCACCGCGAAACACTACGTTAATACGAATACAATAATCTTTATTTCCTAATGCAGAGGTGACCCTTAGGCACGGTGGTAGATTGTTATTTTGCGTTAGTTTGTTCACTAAATGTATCACTCAGCTGAAAAATATTATCTACTGGATAACTTTCTGAACATAATTCGTTCTTTACGCTCATGACATTTCATCACTGCATGTAACCTGCACTAAACAAATTCTCATATTACTCATGAATTTTTCGTCACATTTATACTTGCACGAAGCGAGTGTAGAATCACCAGCCATACTATTCTGCGTTATTTTTAGACTGTAGGCACACAAGTCAGTTGAATGCAATCAATATGAATGTTTTGTCTGAAGTTCATCAGTGTAAAAAGTATAATTCATTTTAGTAATCTCACCGAAATATATGTTGGTGGTATCTCTAGGTAATGACACTTCATTGTGCGTTTGCATTTTTGTAAGCAATATCTCACGTGATAGGTAGGATCTTTGTAGTAAACCAGTTCTTCACAAGGCCTGAAAGTAAAATAACCACATTAGTTGCAGAATAAAAATATTCCTCAGAAGACAACCATTCAGAAAAAACCACAGTCATGTGACAAACAATTAAGTTAATTACTAACAAATATAAGATACCCCCTCTTAATTACTTATTAAAAATCAGGAATCGAGAACTTAATTTTCGCGAAAATATTGGGTTAGCTGACAATCATAGAGAGAATTTAAATTGTTTTGACGGAGTGTAACCAAATTATGAAATCGAAGATAACTCTTTTCCAGTTCTTCAAAAAATAATCACTTATAGTTACAGCGAAACAAATCAAAATCACAAAGATGGTGCACAGTAAACTTGAGAATCCGAGTACGCTGTTTGTTCATTTTCTAAGAATATTTCAAAAAAATACTACACACTACTATTTTTCATTATTGTTCAATGGTTTTGCAGTGAAAACTGAAAGATCAAATGGCATTACATAGAGTATCGAGTGACTGAATGTCATTCATTGTCACAGAAATGTGCCAAATTACTGACTGATCATCGATGCCGTTCTGTATATAGATAGGCGCACATTAACTAATCATAAGCCTTGGAAAATTTGAAGACAGACGTCACGAGTCACACTGGATATAATTCAAACCTATATACATCATTCCGTGAGAAGATAACTGAAGTGCAGCATTTTTTTGAGGCGTTCTAAACTAATCTCATGTTTGATATTTACAGCAAATAACCTGCACATTAGGCGGCTAATCTAGTGATTTCAAAACTACTCAAACTGATGTAATTTCAAAAGATATCATTTGCAGAAATTCAGGTGTTTCAACAAGCCTTTTAGCGTAAATGATTTCAAATGCCAATCGATATACTTTTGTTCCATATCTTTAGTTGTTTCAACAGAATTTGTTTTCATTCGTTTTGTATGATTCACGCAATAAGGCAAAGGGTGGAAAATACAATAATAACAAGGGCATACTATTCAGTAATAACTCGCAAAGACAGGCTTGATTACAAACGTCACATATTCTTACGACAATACGCACATAATGATAACTTTTTCTTTCTGAATGCGAAAGTTTCCTTCCAATCCTTTAACAGTTATTGCTTCCAAGAAAAGAAGAAAACTTTGAGTTCACCTAGTGAATTATCATAAAAGAATTCCAGATAATAACTTTGTGTCCACGACTTATAAGGTGACGAGCAATAACGCTGATGAAAACATCTGCGTCTCTCAGTTACAACCTCCTTAGAATCTAAAAAAGCCATCAAAAACATATATCTCTGTTCGTTTAATGTTCACACTTGATTTTGTCTGAATTTCCCTCGTCTAATTTTCCCAACTAGTGTTAACCATCTTACCTTCTTACATGTATCTTATGCATTCTCACTCAAAATTTGTGATACATTTTTTTCGTCCACGTTTGGCCAGTTTTCCCTCCAGAATATCCGTTGCTACTGGTTCTTGTATACTGGTTCACTCATTTCACATGAACTCAGCTTCGTTATATGAATATTATCTTTTGTTTAGGGCAATAATTCTGCACAAAATTGATTCACGTATGTGGACGTTTCCTATATTATAGTAAAATTGTTTAGTGTTGTAAGCAGCCGATGGAAAACGTCTAATGAAAATGAATCTAAACTACTATGCTAAAACTGCTTACCCGTTCTAACTGAAAGAAGGTGAAGTCGCTGATGTAGACGTTGGATGCATGATGGATACAACTCATATATATATATATATATATATATATATATATATATATATATATATATATATGAAAGTGTATCGAAAAGTAGTTATGAGTAAGGCTTTATTCCTACTTCATGACTTTTTGTTTTGCCGAAATCCATTTTTAAGTCAGTCCAAACAAGTGGTTTCATCCTTAAATATTACTCCACTGTTAATTTATATAAAATATCAGAGCATTTCAGTAGCTTGTGATACAAAGCATTCACACTCAATTTTTTTTACGTTTCCCTTGTGTCTGTGTGTTAGCTTTAACGGAACGTGATGATAATAACTGATATAAAGAAAACTGAACGCAAAAGGACTATCTCCCTGCATTAACATTTGTGAGGATGCATAAAAATGCAAGCAGATTGGTAAAAGACTCGATCAAGGGTAAAATTCAACATGAGCGAGAAAATAATTTTGTAACTGCAGGGTCACCAATTAAAACATGAATACCAAAGTGATAGTAACACATTTACTCCTTGACATGTAACCTTTTGTACAATCACATAATGGTCATAAAATGTAATATATTAACATTAAAAACAATACGTTTTTACCGAGGAACCAACAGCGTGCTACGTGGATTGTTCTTCACGGATAATGCCTTTTGCCAGTGTTCTAGAGCTTGGTCAACTATATCAGACTAAAACAGATCCAAAACAATCAGAATGTGAGGCATAATCACACGCAGAGAGCATTCAAAATATTAAAGCAACTAATTTGATTCGATACTTGGAGTTTTTTCGAAGTTTTCACTTCCGGAGTCTCCTTGATAACTTCTCTTTAACTAATGGTAACAAAACTGTTGGCTAGTTCATTTGTGCTGATTCTTCGCACAGCTTTTCATGTGTTAGCAATAAGAAATTTGTTGCTCTTGTTATACACGCTTTAGTTTCGATTCAATCAACATTCTGTTGCGGTCGAATTCAGTTATAGTTTTTAAGAAGAAGCATGGAAACCCACAATTTGGCAATCATATGAGTGAGGAATATCTAGCATACAATGCATTCCTAATATCTGAGAAACCCTACTTTAGGCGAAGCATAACTATGCAAGAAGTTTGAACTATGTGAAGCGTTTATCCAAAAAGTGGGATTACTTGGTAGGAAAATCAGTTATAAACTATGAGTTGAGTTCAACATACAAAACATCAACTAAATAAATCTTAAAATGTGAAGTGGAAACCAAACTAGCTAGCAAACAGCTGTCATGATTCATCCCGATGGAAGTTATTCATGAATTTTAAAGATGACAAGTAAATGGTCAAGAAGCATCCTAAAACTGAAGAGGTTGAGCAAGTGAATTTTCTGTGAACCATTGTGACCAGCTTCTATCTGCCACCAGGAAATGTACTCATCCCTTCTTTTGCACTCAAATGTTGACTGAATAGTATGTAAATTTGTCATAAGTTGTATTATCTCTTCTCTTGATTCACTTGTCAGTCCTGAAATTTCGCAATCAATAGTAGCTATTTCTTTATGTTCACGTAAAGACCAACTTTTAGTTAATGACTTAATGATGGCATTCTAGTGCACTACTTTCTCGGTATGACCAGAAATAAGGAAAGCGTTTATTGACTATGAGGTGTTTGGAGACAAGTTTTTTTCCAGTAAAGAAACAGCCAGCTTTCAT